TTTCGTGGACTACAGCCCACTTCTTCGGATGCATCCGAAGAAGTGGGCTGTAGTCCACGAAAGCTTATGCTCTAATAAATTTGTTAGTCTCTAAGGTGCCACAAGTACTCCTGTTCATAAGAGAGTTTCTGTGCTCTAAGCTTCTGGTTTTTAAACCTTGGCAGGAGCCTATGTTGGAGCTGACTGGCAGCTTTTTTTTGTTGTCTGAGACTGAGAAGTCTCAAACCTCCACTCCATTGGTCAAGACTTGGTTGCTGGAGCATGGCTGGGTGCTTCAACCCATTCACCTCCTGCTGCAGCTACAGGAAGCTTTCTGTTTTTACCCCTCGTTGGCTGCACAGTCTCTTCAATGACTATCTCAGCAGCTTTGGCCATCAGCTCACACATTTGGGTCAGTGTTGATTCCTTGTTCATATGGAAACCTTCTTTCTTTTTAATAGGCAAAACATTATTAATTAACAAATCCACTTATTCAGGACAACTAACATCCCCTTGCATGTTAGTGCTATCCCAGGCTACAGCTATCTTTTCATGATAGGCATGAGGAAGCCTCTTTCTTTTAATATTTGCGAACTGTGCAATCACAGCCTGTACTGGATATAAAATCTCTTCCAATTTATCCAGCATTTCAGCAAAATCCTTAGCTCCTGACTGAAAATGTGGTGGGAGAGCATACCATAAAGAAGGCTCCCCGTCATTTGTAAAACCTTACATCAATACCTATTATCCGATTGAAACATTTGACTATTACTCACAGTTCTCCTAGTGTGCAGGGCAATTAGATCACCCTTTTAAAACAGATCAACATTTTTAGCTACCAAAGCCAATGTTTTAACTTCCACTACTGCCACAGGACAATGTCCATCATTTGATCCCTCTGGATCTTCCCTTTCTGCTTTTGAGGTATTACTGTTTAATACCCTATCTGGGGAAGATAGGCTGGGGGTTTGAAAATGAGACACTTGCGCTATACCATATTCTGCATACAAAGGGTTACAAAATCCACTCCCATTCCAACTATCTAGTAGTGCTCTTGCTGTTTCACAAACAGTAGTAGATTGCAGGTTGTTTTGTTCAGCAGTATTAAAAAAAATCTCATAATTTGAAGGGAAGGAGCATTTGGTGTTGCTAACACTTAGCCCACAGGATCAAGGACAAGGTAATCTGCTCTAAAATCTGGAACAGAAACCCTCGTTGCTCCAGCAACAAAATCACAGGTTTTATCACAATCCAAACTGTCTTCACTTGAGCTGCTCTCTGCGTCAGAATCTATTTGATTTCTCAGTCTTTGAGTTGTGGGCTTGGTCAACAC